TTTAACATATTTTCAGGTGAGAATGTAGCTGTGTAAACTTCAAATATCTGAGACGAACGACACATCGTTTTCAAACCCCCACGGTCTTTCATTACTCGGGTTAAACATGATATATAAGTCACTTTGATAACTTCAAAATGTTATTGTTGGGCTTTTTCTGTGTTTTATTTGTTCGTGAGTAAATTGGTTTGGCTGAGTTATTAGATTAGATTAAATTTAATTTAACTTTATTAATCCCTCGAGGGTTCCTCCGGGGTTTTCACACAGCTGAATAAACGTCAAACAGCAAACTAATTAAACAAAGTGTGAGACGGTCAAGACGGTCAGCGCCCTGTTATATAGATAGCAAGGAGCAGACGGCAGAGTTTCACTCCACCGAGGGAGCTCGTGACGTACTACCCAGCTTTCTTTAGACCGCGAAGGCCGGGTCCTCAGGTGGAAGCAGCCTCTGAATTTGGACACCCCCGCTGTTTCCGGGTTGGCCAATAATAACGGTGACATTTAACGAATTTTACCCGATAAATAAACACTGTAAAATGTATTTTGAATGTCTCCCTAATTCTGAGGTCTCAAGGTTGGCAAGTATGGCCACAACACCTCACTTTTTTGCCACATGTATTGCAAACCACGTCTCAGCTGTTTGTGTAGGTAAAATACGTCCGCACATGACTCCAATTACGCTCAGCCATTGTTGTGAGTGCGCACGCCAAGGGGCTGCCAGACTTTTATACAGCCGTATTTTGCACATGACTATGAAAGGCGGAAGAGGAAGTAGTTCCTTTGAATGTAGACAATCTGAATGTTATAGTTTCTTTCCACTGTGTTCCTTAATGATAAACTACAAATTTACCCTAAATTACTAAAATATAGATATTTTAATTTGAGAATCGATTCTAGAACATAAATGATTGGTATCGGAGGAATCGATATTTCAGGATCGATCCGCACATCACTAACGATCAGATCCAGTCTGGGTGAAGCTCAGAGTACCTTCTAGTGTTACTCTGAGTCTGCTCCGGGCTTTGATCTTGGTTGTGGCCACAATTAAAAATTTTGATTCACACAGTTGTGAATGGAAAAACAAGTTTTATCAGCTCTCAGTGTCAGACATAGGTACTTCTTTGAGACAGCAATCCAGAAGGAGCCCAGGTTTAGTTTGCCCCAATGGAACTTTAAAGTGCTGTCAGTGGGAATTTCCTGAAGCTGGAATTCCATCATTTTCAGTGGGATCCACAGAAAATTCATCCATTACCTCATGCAACTCTGGTGACATCTTTTTTGCTGCAAAGCTTTCACGTAGGGGTGGGTTTTGATTATCGATTTATCGGTTAAAATCGATTCTAGCTTGGATAACGTGATATCGATTCATTAAAATCCTGAATCGATTTTTTAATATAAATTTATTTTGCCCGAAACGCCAGAATCTCAGGTTAAACCTCACAAAATTTCAACACCACCAAACAGCTAAAACAGTAAATGAGAGCAGACACGGAATTCTGCACAAAGACGTTAACACAAAACGCGGACCTGCCGACGGATCAGAATCAGTGAGATGTCGCCTTTCCGTCCCGACAGCACGGACAGGGTCGGAGCTGAAAGCCGACAGCTCACTGATTCTGATGTTTCGGCGGGTCCCCGCTATGTGTTTACGCCCTTTTTGCGCTAGATTCTGAAGCTGCAGGTTTTATCTCTCTCCAAACAATATTGACTGAACCAGCAGCAAAAGAAGATCCAAACTACGCTTCACATAAATATCATCATCAATTCCCTCTTACTTTTGCTGTGTTGCTTTCACCACGATAAAAATCACACTTCATGCAGAGCTCTCTCTCTCTCTCTCTCTGTACTTCAAGAACAGTTTCCCGTCTAAAATCTCTTTTTTCTGTATTATTCACTTTCTTATTACGCACAAGTTGTTTACAGCGCTGTCGGCCGCTGTTTTTTTCCTTTCTCTTACTTCCAAAAGAAAGCCTCATTTCTGCTGTTCAATAGGCTACTGAACAAATTCAAACTTTTTAAAATTATGCAAAATTGCAAAACACTTAGCTGTGTCTGTAATAAAACCTCTGTGACTTTGATCTGCGTCACTTCAGCAGCATCAGGTAATGTTCATATGTTGATTAATGGTTTTCTTTCGTTTTTGATCTACTGCAGAATATTTTTAAGGTTATCTGCTATAAAATCCCAGGCCAGGAAAATCTCCTTCATGTTTTTCTGTGTTTTATCCTCAGTTACTTTGACACAAAGGCATCTGCTGTGATGCTTACACCTTTGATAAAGTCTTGCAAGTGTTAGCTTTCTTTTTATAGATATAAAATATGGAAATGTACTAATGCGTGATTAGAATTATAATACTTCTGACTGTCTGAGGCAAAATTTCCCTGATTCAAGTACAATTGAATCGAATCGTGGATCAAATCGATTTGGGACCGGAATCGAATCCATTCTAGAAATCAGTGACGATACCCAGCCCTACTTTCACAGTGGAGAAAACAGTGGGTCCATTTAGCTTCTGGTGCAATATCAAGCATCTATTCAATTCAATTCAATTCAATTTTATTTATATAGTGCCAAATCACAAAAAAGGTCGCCTCAAGACGCTTCATATTGTACAGTAGATACAGAGAAAAACCCAACAATCATATGACCCCCTATGAGCAAGCCCTTTGGTGACAGTGGGAAGGAAAAACTCCCTTTTAACAGGAAGAAACCTCCGGCAGAACCAGGCTCAGGGAGGGGCAGCCATCTGCTGCGACCAGTTGGGGTGAGAGAAGGAAAACAGGATAAAAACATGCTGTGGAAGAGAGACAGAAATTAATAACAGAGATGATTCAATGCAGAGAGGTCTATTAACACATAGTGAGTGAGAAAGGTGACTGGAAAGGAAAAACTCAATGCAATCATGGGAATCCCCGGCAGCCTACGTCTATCGCAGAATAACTAAGGGAGGATTCAGGGCCACCTGGTCCAGCCCTAGAGATAGTGTCTGTCTCCCGAATCCAATCTGCCTTGTGATGCCATGATGCCTGCCAGTCATTGAAGCTGCACCATTACTGACAGCCCACCACAGTTCTGCCAGTCCAGGTCATTCTTAGTGAAGTAGTTGTCAATGCAGCGGAAACATTCCTGAGCCGTAGCTCGTGTTGGTAGCTCTCAAAAAAACAGCTCCCCCAGCGATAAGGAAAAAAAACCCAGCAGCAATGCACCATTCGAGAATTGAGGAAAAAAATGGAAAAATTGACTACTTTTTATTCTTTCCAGAAGCTAATGCTGTATGTCTAAGGCCATGTCCATGATATGGTGGCTCACAGTGTCGTCTGAGAGTGGGATGGTCAATAGGTTCTTTCTAGCAGCCTCTCCGATCATCTTACGACACATATGTACAGCAGCAGGCAAAATCAGCTCCTCTGCTATAATGAAAGACTTTTTACTCTGTGCCACAAGTCTGGATTTGAGGTAGCTAGCTTTTAAAGCAGTGAGTGAGTGACACAACAGACTGTTTCTGTATCTGCAGTCCTTACAATATAAAGTGCCTTGAGGTGATTGTTGTTATGATTTGGCGCTAAATAAATGAAACTGAATTTAGTAGAATTTTCTTTTCTGTTGAAATATTCCACTGGCTTTCTTGAGAGCGTGGGATGTTTGGTTTTGAGATGTTGTTTTAATTTTGAAGACTTCAGTGCTTTGTTGGATAGCATTAGTCTACACTCCACACATTGGGCTCATGGGTATGCCGCGCTTCCTCCGTTCACAAACCCATACTTCAGAAAGTCAGGGTTGTACTTGGGAAAAAGTTTTGACTTTTGGGAGGGGAAGTTGTCCCTTTTATCTTCATTTTTGCGTTTTAAGAACTCCATATATTTTTCTAACTGCAAACAGCAGGCAGAGTGTCTTCTTCTGTTTGCTTATTGAGGCTGATAAAACAACTCCTACCAAGTGGTGGGAAGCTGTATTGTAACTGAGATTTACATGGATAACGGTAGTCCCTGGTGTCTTCAATTAATAATCTATGATGTGTCTCGTGGCCCTCATGGCCCACAGGTGTCAAACCGTAATTATACAGAATAACAGGGACAAAGAGACTATCCCCAAAGACCTATTAGTGTAAATTCTATTAGTTTACTACAGAAAATAATTGAAAGAATGCAAACTATTTACAACCACTGTTTTTATAAAATATTACTGAATGTTGATTGTGTCTTAAACACATGTTGAATGTGTTTTAATGAAGCCTTAATGTATTAAACTTCATTATTATTATTATTATTATTATTATTATTATTATTATTATTATTATTATTATTTCTTGATGCATTCTCAATCATCCAGGAAAGTAAATTGTGAAACTGGGGAGCCCATGGCACACCCATGTTTCTGCCTGTAGAACTGACCCTTGTATGTGAAGTAGGTGGAATGAAGACACAGTTCCAAAAGCAAACACACTTGGTCGATGCTGAGAGTGGTCCTGTTGCTGAGGTTGGTGTCATCCTGTAATCTCTTATGGACTACCTCCAACGTTTCCGTGACTTGGATGCAAGTGAAGAGAGATGTAACGTTGTACGAGACCATGGTTTCATCTGCCTCCATAATGACATCTCTCACCTTCTCAACAAAATCCAGGGTGTTCTGGATGTGGTGTTCAGAGCTGCCCACCAGCGGGTTGAGGATCGAAGCCAGAAACTTTTCATTTACGTGAAAAGGGAAAGACCCTCTCTGAATCGAGGAGGGGGCCTAAGGGTACATCTTTCGCCATCTTACAATGCTGTGATTGCAGCCATTCCCCAACTCTCTGTGAATGGTACTGATGGCCATTGATCAGTGGTCTTTGATCAGTGGGTTTTGGTCAGTGGTTGTTGATCAATGGTCATGAGAATTTGCATAATTATGATTAAGGAACTGACCTCCCAGTCCATTGTTCCTTCAGTGGGCTGGTTTTAGTCATTATGCAAATTTACTGTTTATAAGATTTGGTGAAACCTGCAGTCAGCTGAGACTGAAGAAGTCACTTGGATGAGTGACGAAACGTTTCTCCCACGAAACGCTACGTCCAGATGAACAGAATCAACTTTTGGAGATATTATTATTATTATTATTATTATTATTATTATTATTATTATTATTATTATTATTATTATTATTATCATTTCTGACTATGGATTGATTGTTCTTGTGATAGGATACAGCTTTGTGATTTTATTGAATGTTGCTTTATACCTTGGGGAGTAGGTGGGTAGGAGAAATTTGAAAAATTGTTTTGCTCCACCTGGGTTTATCCAGTAGAATGATCTATTTTATACTTGGGCAGCTGTGGTTCCAGAGGTAGAGTGAATTGGATGGTTGTTGGCTCAGTCCTCTGCTTGTCTACATGTCAAAGTGTCCTTTCGCAAGATACTGAATCCTGAAAAATGCCTCCAGTATAATTTTCTATTTGATATAAATAAGTGCTGGATAAGTAAACAATCTAGCCTGGTATGTCAGTAGGTTGATGTAACAGCTTACTAAATCCTAGGCCTAAATAAACATAGACAAGGGCGAGCATAAATACTATTTCATCTTACCTGAGCTTTGTTGGCTCTGTTTTCTTCAAAAAGCAACTTTAAAGTTTGTCGTTGAAACTTTACATATTTTTGTTTTGGTAGAGACAGTAAGAGCAATGACCTATGTGATCAACCAAGGCATGTCCATGTACTGGGGTACATCACGATGGACCTCAATGGAGATCATGGTAAGTTTTAAACTTAGCTGTGAATCTATCCATAATCTGAATTATATGAATACTGTAGATTTATTGTTGTCTTCATGTGGCTAGTGTTGGTCTGAATTAGGACTAAATAGAACAAGTTCTTAGTGTTCATTTCATAAATACATGAAATAAATCATGAAATCAGTGCAGGTGGCAAAAGTATAGACACTGTTTACTGACATAGAACACCAGATACTTGTTAAAAATACTCAGGTAAAAGTAAAAGTACTTATTTAACCTATTGGCTCAAATAAAAGTTAACGTACAGGCTCAGAAAAGCATTCAAAGAAAGAAAGTAAAAAGCAGGACCTGTATTAATATAATAAAATAAATTAGTGCATGGTGATACAAATAGTGCTTTTGACCTCCAAACCTAAGTAGAGCTCTGAGGTTTATTGGTCTACCCTCTACATTGGTGGGGAGGAGGTAGAAAGGGTAGAAAGCTTTAAGTTCCTCAGAGTCCACATCTCGGCTGACCTTACCTGGTCCACAAACATTTCCCACCAGGTAGGGAAAGCACAACAAAGGCTGTTACCCCAGAGACTGCGAGTAAACTTCTACCCCTCCACCATCGAGAGCCTGACTTACTGCTGCACTCTCTGGTTGAACTGCTCCACGGCGGAGGACAAGAGGAAACTGCAGCGGGTGGTGAGGGCAGCAGAGCGGGCAACTCACTAAACCCCCCTCAAAGACATTTATACTGGCAGACTTCAATAAAAAGCCAGCATCATCATCAAGGACCCCTCGCACCCTGGACACTCACTTTTTCCCCCCTGTAAACGCTACAGGTCCATCAAGACGAAGACAAACAGACTTAATAGAAGTTTTTACCCACGGGCTTTCAAACATGCCCTACCTCAACCCTGATTGGAGGATAACTGCACTGCCAACACCCATGGACATTAAACCTTATTTATAAACTGTATTTCTATGTATACTTTAAGGAGGTTGGTTGCATTAAA